ATGGGGTGCTAAAAACATAAATGGCACTAGTCAAAAAACAGACAATAGCTTAAACACAATTTGTGCTTTTTTAGAACGTACAAAAGCACAAAATCTAAATATAGTAGCTATAGTAACTGACAGTGCATCATCTTATGCCTCGGCACGGTATGATATTATTTTTTTTATTTTTAATTAAATTTTAATTGAATAACGATGCAATAAAATTTTTGTTTAATATTTTTAATTATTAATTAGACACAAAATACGATTAGAAAGGCCAGATCTTGTGTTCCTGCCATGCTTTGCACATCAGGCCAATCTTTGCATTGGTGATATTTTCAGATATTCATCAGAATACAAATGTACAGCAGAGTAGGCAATTGAAATAGCGGCATATTTTACTAACCGAAGGCATACAAAAGCAATATCATTACTTCATAATGAACAACAAAGAATTTATAAGACAATTTATAGCTTTGTTCGTACTGTAGTTACCCAATAGAATTCCTATTATTATTGTTTTGCTGCTTTTATTAGAAGCAAATAGGCTTTACAATTGTATTCAATTATTTATATAAATTCAAATGAGCTATCAAATAAAGCACGATCTGCTATAAATAGCATAACATTTTGGAAAAATGTTGATGAGCTTGCCGATTGTTTGCTGCTATTTGTTAGTATTTTAGATTACCTTTAACACAATGCTGCAACTCTTTTTGATATAATCTATTCATTCGCATATATTGCGCAACAGTATGAGGATGAAACTGGTGGATTTGGTTATGCAATGTTATAGCAGTTTGAAAAGCGTTGGGCTGACTAGGAACAGCCATTGCTTTTTTTAGCAGTTATATTCAATTTACAATTTCGAGTTCATGCTTTATCAAGCCAAGTTTTTTTTAGCCTTGAACGAATATCTAGCTGGACTGAATATTATTATGAAAAGTGGTTTAATGAAAAACCAAAACATGTCGCATTGGAATTGACAGAATATTATATGAATTAAGACATTTTCACTGATGAACAGTTTAATAATACTCTTGAAGCGATTTCAGAAGAACATAATGTACAAGGTAAGATGGCAAATAATGTAGTTAGGCTTGCACTACTGTGGTATTGGGAGTTCGCTGCACTTAATCTAAAAGAAATCAGCATGGTTGCACAAAGGCTGTTCAGCATTAAAGTCAATTCAGCTCCATGTGAACGACTTTTTTTTCGCATGGGGTGGTTTTATACTTCTCAACGATGTCGCTTTAAGGTAAGGGTTGAGTTTTTTTTTTTTTTTTAATTTGGCAGTCTTGCCTCTACTTTATTAGATTTCATAATCTTATAATATTTTAAAATTAAATATTAAGAGAAGAATTTTTCAAAAGGCTATTCCTTTTGACACCTACTTTACAAGTATTGGCTCACCCGGTTATTTTAAAAATATCTATGTGCGACCTGCTATAGCAAAATTTTACCTCCGTATTAATTTACTTTGCAAATAAGTACCTTAATACTTCATTGGATGGTTTTTGTAGCTTGTCAAGACTACTAATTAATTTTCCATCACTCTGCATGTTGCCTATTTCTAATCCACTTCAGAACCTCTTTCTTGGCAACAGTCAAAATTTTTTTCTAACCCTCTTCGGACTCATTCATCTGATTATTTTTTTCCTATACACTTTCACTTTTAGAACTTACGGCTTTTTTTTCTTTTTTCTTTTTTTCTTTTCCTAGGTTAGCTCTTCTTTTTTCCCTATATGTTATAACATTTTTTCTTTCTCATTCCTGGACTAGCTTACATTTTGCAACCCAAATTTTCTTGTCTTGTAAACTGCTTTCATCCAGTTTTTCCAAAGCCGTATTATAAAATCAATAGCTTGCCTGTTTGAAGTGAAATTCGGTCTGAGCTCCTCGAAATCCTCTTTCATAATTAAGCCCCTAATCCATCTCTCTCTTCTTTGAAGTTTTTCAACCAAGTTTTCTTTGCCCAACATCGTTAATATTGACTCCTTCTTTTCTTCGAAATCTTCTAGCTTCTTTAGCTCTAATAAGGTCTTCTCAGTTTCTTGCTCCTCTATCTCTCTTAATAAATTTATTGATACCTCGCAGCTGACTAAATGTTCTATATTTTCTACTTTTTTCCCACACACTATGCATAAT